CCTAAAGGATGGACTGATATCAGATTTCATCACGCGTCTTTTCCGTGTTCTCCCTCGTTGCCGCGAGTTAACCATCGAGTGCTCCTTATGGCGCGATATGGAGACCCTCATCCGCCTCGTCAAGCGGAGTATCAAAGACAACGGTACCTCATTAAGACTGGAGTCTTTCATCATGACATACAACCCCACTCACAGTATCGAAGCTTTCTTCCACCCAAACGTACTGCCCACATCCCCTCTCATCTGGTCTGAGAATCCCGATGAGCATATTACTACGCCCCTCCCATGCCTCACAAACCTCGTTATCAATAATATAACCCACAATTGGCCTCTCCTCACCCTCTCCGGTCTACACACCCTCCGTCTCATCAACATCCCGTCTAACAACTCCCCATCTTACGCCGACCTTCATCGGATTCTCCTCGAAAACGCTGAAACACTGACCACGCTTGAACTCTCGGATATATCTGTAAACGATAACAAAGCTGTAGCCGAGAGGTTTACCGTCCCAAACCTGAAGCGAATGACGATTGGGTTCGGGCATCCGAAGGACCTGGGTTGGGCCGCGAAGATATTGGATCTGCCGGCGTTGGAGGAGCTAGCCATTGAGGACCGTATAGCGGGGTTGAGGCTCGGAAGTGGGCGGCCATGGGTTTCGGAGGCTCGGAAACGACAGGCAAGGGAAGGATATCGAGAGTTGATGAAATGGTTTCCTCTGGGTCGAGTGCGAAAGCTGAACTTAAGACGCGTGGTATTTTACGATAGTGGAAGTGAAGGGGTTGTGGAGGAAGGAAAGAGCGTTCCATTTGCCTTCGAGTTCTTGTCAGAATTCAGGGAGGTCAGAAACTTGGAGGTTTGGCATGACGACTCTTCATTAGCATGCGCGGACATAGTTAAATCCTCTGATACCTTGTTCCCAAATTTGTGCTCGTGCTACATCGGACGGTTGTAAATAATGTTGTACTAGAAAGGTTATCCCCGGTGGAATTGATATACTTCGACGGAAGGATAGGGAAGCCTGGGACTTGAAAATGAGTGATGAAAGGTTGACCGATCTTCTCTGGGTGACGCGGCTAAGCATTGCCCGACAGAACCACCGGAGGTTACTCGCGTCGCTTCGTCACGTCGTTCAATCTCGTCTCCGTCGGCTGTACCGACCCACGACGGTGCTCCTGCTATTCCAATACTGTCTGCACCCACACCAGTTCCATCATTCTTGGATTTCGGACCGTTGCCTGAGCATGATTCATGTAATATACCCTCATCTGGGAGGAAAAGGTCTCGGGGCGAGTTTGATGACGAAAAGGGAGATATTCCGTCGAAGTTTGAGAAACGGTTCTCGAGGGGAGACGAAGAGAATTCAGTAGGAATCGAGGACTTGAAAACTATGTATCCAATATCGGTATTCTACGTTAGGACACTGATGAATTGAGACACCGACGAGGGCTTAAGCATTCAAAACACGTACCTCGTCAGACATTCTTCCTATAACGTGCGACGTGCAACATAGAAGGTACGGTATCTAGCTTTTCGAGAAGGTTTCACCAAGCTAGCACTAACGCCTTCGATTGCTTGATAACGGGAGAGGCGTTGATCAATGTTGTGCTCCAGAATCCATGGATGTCTCGAATCAAGGCTCCCATCACACAGTGATGAGGAAAAGTGAAGGTTTGCCGCTGCTTTGACGAAGACGTCTGGTCCTGACGGGGCATCGGCACTGCTCAGAGTATAGCAGCAGTCTGCGGTGTAGAACAAAGAGGTTAAAATCCCCGATCCAATGAGCCGTTTAATAACACTATCCATCTCGCGACGAAGGACTCCCACTGCGGCCACAACTGGGGAGAAGCACCGAGGGCATCCACGTTCATGTAAAAGGATAGAGAAGCGACGGACTGCAAGGCCACCCCATTACGACTGATCACAGGTCCTCCATTGAATCTAGTCGTTGAGGGGGCTCCGTTCTTTCGAAGATATTCGATGGCTCTGGATGGATAGGGGAAGCGCGAGACGGACGTAGAACGATAGTCCTTAAAGGCTTCAAGACGGCTTGACAAAAGAGACATCTGGAGTGATTTGTAGCAAACAATCCTCTGCAGCCAAAACCCGACCTATCGAACTCTCACCGACCTCTAATGAGCGTAGTACTCTGGAATGATGGTGGTGGTTTGAGACCAAGACGCGTACGGCTTGTCACCGGGTGCCACGTGCCTCAGTGCTCCCAGCACGTGCCAAGGATCAGGTCGCGTTCAGAATCTCATGGTCACTTATAAATGAGGTGCTCACTCATTTGACCCCGAAAAGTAGATAAAAACTCGAAAAGTCAACAATGGAGACGTTATGTATGTGTAATGTGAGGGTCCGTCCAGACATTTCTTCTCGGGTTATCTTGGTGCGCTGCTTTGGACATCTACTCTGAACTGACAATTCTCCGCCAAAATTTCGCTCCGGTGAGTGCAAAGCAGTCAAGGAACTCGGGTACGGAGCGTAGACAGCGTGTTGAAAGTTCTCTCCATACCCGAAAGCTAGAATTAACCCGACCCTTCCTGACCAAGCTTCTCCAAACTGGCCCCTACCAACGGAAACCCAAAAACCGTATCCAACGGCCATCCTCCTCTATCGACCTGCCAAGGAAACATGGCAACAACAAGGATCTCCCCCGAACCGGTTCCTTCCCACCCTTTCTTTATAGCTTCAGTCAGCCCCGAATCTTCGCCTGAAGGAAAGCCATCAGAGAGAAGCACTGCGCTCTCCGGGGAAGGAACTCTTGGGTGATCAAAGTCAAGATACAGGATTGGGTGCCGGCTTTTTAGCGTGTTCAAGGAAGAATGTGACCGTCGATGGGTCTTTACCATGTTCGTGAGGGTTTGCGCGTAAGATTTGATGTATGAAGAAACAATTAGGCTCAAAAACCTCCGCCCGGTGCGAGACAGGTGGGGTATTCCGTCTGTAAATTGAGAGTTAGCATAGCACTTAGCGTGGAAGCGGCAATGTCATGCTACTTACCCCGTATCTCTCCGGCGAGCCGAGGGCATTGCTCCTTATGTTCACTTTTCCAGTCTGCTTTTCGGCAAGCAAGAGAGCAGTAGATCGCAACAAAGCAACCAGTGCAGCGCACGTACTGAATCTCCGTGTTGCTTCTCGACCCTTTTTCGCGAGACGATGGACACTACATGAAAGTAAAAAACATGAAGTGTACTTGAAAATCTTTGGATTAAGCAACCACTCACCTCATCGTACTCGCACAAACCCCTAAACTTTAACTGATTCCTGATGTCATCCATTTCCTTCACCTTCGCCAACAAGTTCGCCCATGCGTTATCCAACACCTCCGACTGTTTGATCCCATATGTGACCATCGGATTCTCCCACATCTGAGGATCATCCCGAGTCACCGCCCGTAGCGGTGGCATGTGAACCATAAACAACGCAATCCGATCGATGAGCTTCGCAGATCGCTCCTGAAAAACCCCTCGTATCCCATCCGCACCCTCTTCACCGAGCCTATAAAAAGAACCTGGGGCTTTAAAGAGCGTTTTGACGACCCCCGATTCGATCATATATTGAACTCTCGCCGGCGTATTTACCCCAACAGGCTCGAGGAGAGTCAACATGATGCATACGACGGCGGTGTACGCATCGGTGAATTCCTTGCGTTTGATTGAGACCTTATGGAGCCATGTACATTTCCGGAGGAGAAAACGTAGGATGCGGCACAACAACTGAATGGCGGTGGCATGGTTGGCTTCTCCGATACAGATAGGGTTCTCACGACCGTTTGTGAAGCATTCCGCGCCTTCGCTGAGGAGGAGAACGCAGGCCTTCAGCTCGGCGAGTTCGTATGCGATAGGGCGGCCTTTCGCGGATTCATATTGCAGTTGGTTGAGTGTATGTTGGAGATATCGAAGGAGTTTCTTTCCGAGGGCTGCGTCGACTTTGTCAACATATGGACGTGGGAGGTCGAATCTGAGATCGTTTGGGGGGAATTGAGAAGGAGTGGAGGGGTGGTTGCGGGAGAGGACAGTGATATCGTAGAGCAATGCTGACCATGGTGGCATGTGTGGGTGGTTTGTATCGACCATATAGACCCATATTTGGGTGAGGAGAGGCTTAAGATATGGTGAGGAGGCCTGCTTCACAGGCGCTGACAATGGAGATTTATTCTCAAAGTCCAACAGCTCGGGAAGAGAGAGTAGGATATGATCCCGGATCGGAACCCCAGTCTCTACATTTCTTGAGGTGATGAGAGTTCGAAGGAAGAATACTATCCATTTGGATATGTCAGGCTCCCATTTGGGCCAGAACTTGGAGGCCATGACATGTACATTCGTGTACATGTAGACAGTGGAGGCGACAATCGCTGAACAGGCACTCTCGACTCGATTTTTCGGACAAGAGATGTCGAAGTTGGCCAAGGAGGGGGGACCGTTCTTGCAGAGATATTCAACAGCCCTATCTGCCGTCGCAAAGCGCGAAACAGACGAAATGCGATACTGCACAAACACCGGAAGTTCGCTCGCTGGGAAAGCCATCAAGATCTGGCTGAGATCTAAAGGTCTTGAATGGTGCGGGATTCAACTTGACTTAGAGGTCCCAAGGTCAGTGAAATTACACGGAAGGATATACACAGATTACATGCCTCTTCTTGACCGTGGTGGTCTGAAGGCAACCTGCACTTACATGACGTAATCATCGCTTAATCGATATCTCGCTTCCCAGCACGTGAAAGCGTCGCGTCGTCCTCTGCCGGACCCGTGAGGAGGGATCAAAGATATTGTTGGTCTCAGGCGGCAATGCATGATGAACGGTGAGGCTTGTGTTTGGGGAACATCATAAAGAGCATTCAAACGTGCTCAGCTCGTAAGGGCAACCTTGTTTCCGGGTTTACCAAAGACTCGTGGCAGCGCAAATGCCCCACGGCATGGATCTTCTTCCTACGCAGGGTTACATGACACCAAACGCCAAAAGGAACCCAGGAAAACACCGTAAACTCGAACCAAAACGGGCCCAACTGGGAATTGAACCCAGGACCTCTCGCACAATTACATGAGGTCGTCATCACCCAAAGCGAGAATCATACTACTAGACCATTAGGCCGGTCGTGCTACCTCGCCTGAATCTGTATCCCACATTATCACGTAACAACACTCATTCAGTACACGAGCGAACAGTAGGCCTTCACAACACAGAGATTATCATCTACATCAGCGATACTATGAACAGTTGAGCGAGCATACCAACCCCGAATGCCCGCAACCCTTCCGATTAGTGTTGTGCCGGTCAATGACCAGTCAACGTCAAGTTCCGATCCCTCCTGTTCCTTCACCCTCAAACCATCCACCTCGTTTCATGGTACCATGCTCCGCACGAGTTACGGTTCTGATGTCTCGTATACTTAGGCCTCGCTCCCGACCATCCCCGCCTGTCGTCCAACACCCCTTTCCGTTGCTGGGGGCTACAGGACTTCCAAAATAGACCCTCTGAGCGCCTGTAGGGTGCCTGGTAGTTGTGTTTTTCAGAGGCTTGCCTAACAAATCGTGTTCCACCGTGAGCTAAGTACTACGGTTGGTCATGCAAAAGGTCCTCGTCACCAAGTTGAATCGGGTGTGACGGTAAGATGTAGCGAATGGCCAGCCGAGCTTCATCCTTGCCTGTATGAAATGGAATGAGCATGGTACTTGATATAAAGATAACCACGCTGGCGTGTGGATTCTTGAGTAAGTCAGGAGTGAAAGCCACTGGCAGAGACACCTTAAAGTATGGGAGTATACTCGAGGTACCGAAGGAGGTTCTTCTCTCAGGGCGTGGTGGTCTCGTCTAAACGAGGGTTTATGAACAGTCTAAGTTCGCTCGGAGGAACTGCAAGGTCATTGGATTCGAGTGAGGAAGGGTTACAAACATCGATAATACTGTACAGGAGTGTATGGAGGCGACGTAACGGCTAACAGTTTGTCCTGTCGCTGAAAGAGCGTTATGTAACGGCTAACGGGGGGGTTGTCGCTAGCAAAGGATTGTTACATTTTTATGAAGGGAAAAACTCTACACTGGAGTTTACTCATGGTACATTCAACAATGAAAACCATTCGAAACCACACCTAGCTCTAACTCATTGTGGGTTGGCTGCCCATTGATTGACTGAAAAGGTATACCCTTCACCAAAACAGTCACTATATCTGCCGCCCATTGTGGCGACCGTAACACATAACAATGGGTCTGTCGCTAACGTAAATCCAAGATGGAGGCGTAACGGTCGATCGACTGTCGCCTCCATACACTCCTCTACAGTACTGTGAAGGTTGATTTCATGTCGAGAAGTGACTCGTGTCCCGTGTCGACGTTATAGAATTAGTTTTGAGCGAGAAGAGGTTGAAGAACGGATCAGTTGATTGTTGCGTTGAATCGGCGACTACAAGAGGAGGGACGGTGGGAGAGATGAATCGCTACCAGTGTATCTTGAGAGCGATCATGGGAGACCTCGTTGATAGGAAGTGCAGACTTTTGTGTTCGAATTGTACTACTTTAAAGCTTGAAAGGTATCCGTGGGAGATTGAATGTCGCGTGAACGGATGTTCCACCTTACTTCCAATCGGTAGGCGCTAGCGACTTCAATGTATTTCCGAGTCCTAAGCCATGCGAATCGAGCCCCTGCTCAGAATATCTTCGGTCATGGGTCGAATTTTCTGATATCAACCAGTCGTGAGAGAACATGCCATATATGACCTGAGGTGACACTCAGCACCTCAGAGATGTGGTTTTGAATGGAAGAAAACTTCACGACCACTCACGTCCGACGAGGTTCAACGCCGGGCTTGATCCTTCATGTTAGATGTATAAACCGCAACATGGGACGGCTATAAATCTCGTTTCATTGATTACTCGCCATCAATTGAAGGAAATAAGTATGCCTCCCGCGACCTATCCACCAGAAATGTCTTCGAGGACTTTTGAACCTCCTTGCTACCCTCTTTCAACAACTCGTAACGTCTGCGGCTTATGCAATGTATACCGAAAATGCCAAATGGTGTCTTTACGACCTGTGAGTTGGCTGTTTTCCACGACTTTCGTGCCTCTCACAGCACAAGTGTAATTATTTAAGCCAACGCAGGTATGCAGATGTCCTATTATAATGCACAGGTCGACTCTAGAACTTCTGAGCAATATTGACTCATTTAGAGCAAAGATTTCAGCAAGCGCCCAAATCGGTCGAAGGCGCCAAAGTTGGGAGATTATCTTTCGACTTTATCAACGGCGGCAGCATAGATAAGGTAAGATTATCTACAGTAGTAATATACCTAGAGGCTAGAACGGCACGGCGTTAAAATGAACAACACAGCTTCCAAGCTAGGCATTGTGGTAGTTCTTCCTGCTACCGAAGCTCAGCAATGCCTGGGCTTCCGCCACCTGCGTCATCGTGATACCGAGAGGCTGAGAAACAGCTTGACGTCCGCAGTTACTACATTACTTAGCCATTGAGCGGGTCCTTCGTTTCAGCTTTCCACTCATTTTCGTGTATCACGGGAGCGTGAATACATTCTCACGCCCCGAACGGAGCAGACTATGGCGCTCGGAAGCTTTGTAGGTCCCCGCATCCACATAAAAACCGAGAAAGCGGCGCCCTCGTCGCCATTTGGTCTTACCCTGATGACTACACGCCTTTGTACCCCATAATTGGGGTATGGGGAACTCAGTTGATCCCGGCTCGCCCAGATCTCTTCGAATGTCCGCTGATGCTGATGTGCCCTATAGTAGTGGGAGCCATCTAGCCTCTAAAGGGCGCGCCGAGCAGTAGAACCGCATGAGGCGCGGGCGGGTATCTATGTATCAAGCCACTGTATGGAAGGTATTAATCAAGGCTTATTGTTCAACTTCCACCATGATCGCGAAGTGAACTTGGTGTTTTTTGAATGAATATTCACTCCCATTCATAGCTCTCGCAGCCCGCAAGCCCCGGACCCATACGATGATGAAACAGATGCTATGATACTTGAACTTTTGGTGCTGTGAGGTAGGTACTTTACCCCCGCTAGATATTCGGAGAATGGATAGGAGCTCGCGATATATGAACTCAGTCCGATGTAGGTCTTCACCCAGAGAGCCTTTCTTCTGATTCGTTCTCTTTCCCTTCCAACTTCCAACTCAGCAATGAAGGTCCTCTCTCTCCTCACCGCAGCCGGCGTTGCCTCCCTCTCAACCGCCAGCACCATCCAACGCCGAGCACCCGTGCTCACCGACGTACTGAATGCTCACAACGACTTCAGAGCTCAGCACGGTGCTACTGCGCTCACTTGGAGTGACACTCTAGCCAATGCCGCTCAGAGCTGGGCGGATCGATGTGTTTTCGAGCATTCTGGTGGGGCTGTTGGCCCGTACGGTGGTGCGTATCGAATCATTCCCCAGCATACTTGATCAGTGGGTAGTTGCTCGATATTGAATCTACTTTCAGAGAACCTTTATGCGGCAGCTACGAGTGGAGCTAACCCCGTGGATGGCGTGAGGAGTTGGACTAACGAGGCTTGTGCGTGATTCTTCTGATCACCTTTCATTTCCCTTTTGTGAGCTGACATACAAACTCTGATCAGCGGAGTACGACCCGAACAACCCCCAGCCATCTCATTTCACACAGGTGGTGTGGAAGGCATCGACGGAACTTGGATGTGCTGTTGCTGAGTGCGGAGACAAGATATTCTCAGGATTCCCAGTACGTCCCCTTGGTCGATGGTGTCGACCATAGAATTTCTAGGACTGACTGTCCGTTTTCGTAGACATCGACGTTCCTCGTTTGTGAATACAGCCCCGCAGGCAACGTTATTGGACAGTTCCCGTACGTACCCCCGTTTCTCTCGATGAATATATGCTGAAGTCGCGCTCCTACAGTGAAAACGTCCAGCCTTGAAGAGTCTATAGTCTGATTTTTCAATGTAACAGTACAGTATTACCACTATGAACTAAGATGTTGCTTCTATGGATTATCAATTTGAACGAGCTGCCGTAATGGATACCCTGATCCAAAGCCAAGACAGTGTCTCAGCAGAGCTTTGTACACCAGTAGTCAGCGGTTCAATAGTGACAAAAACAGTCAAAAAATGTACTACTAACCATTATTTATCATCCCTCATAGCGCCTTTTTCAGACCTCCATGGACCCCCAATTATCAACAACACCCGATTGGTCACCATAGAGAGAACGTTCGTCACATTGACTCCGACGATCACAAAGAAATGCTAAAACCATTGTTGCCATCCATCTAACCCATAGGGAAACTCATGTAGTCTGGGGGCGGCAGGTAAAGAGAGTTGGTCCCCTCTACAGGCCAACGGGGTATTCGCGTAGCTTCGACTAGTCGTTACGAGTTTGACTCACCATAGTGATGGTATGGGACCAGCAGCGAAAGTATCGACATACGTGTGCAATATATCCTTGAAACAAAGGCAAGAGCTGCCTCATATGATTGATGGAGAGTGCGGGACTCAGAACTCCCCTGTGTCGCTTATGATCTTTACCTGATTGAGACGCCCAAATTAAGTTCACCGAGAGGTGTGGCTGCACGAGAATTCATGACATCGTTGATGACAACGAGGTCCACTCACCGACGATCCAGGTTACCTCCCGTCCAAACACCATCTCAAAGAGTCTTCTTACATCCGGCGCTTCTGGGTAGTCTTGTAACGATCCTTGAAGAACTCGCTGGCAGGTCCGTGGGTCAGAGATGACGAGCATGGTTTGCTGGAAGTTGAATGTTCAATACAGATCACATAACGATGAGATTGAATTCTTGAAACGACACGACATCACGACCCACCCCAAGACAACCCTAGATTTTGTAGGCCGTACCATACTCCTTTGTCCAGTCACGCAAGACTTTCACCACCCCGTTCACTCTCAAGTGATGCTCACCTCCTGAGATCAGGCGTCAATAAACCACCAAGCTGCAGAGAGGGTCAATTGGTCAGGATCTACCGCGGACTTCGTGCGCCGTGATCTCATCCTTGCACTAGGTGTACCGTCCGGCGGTTGAAGGTGTATGTAACTGCTTGTAGTACACTAGGATACACCCCGGAACCGGTGTTCAGTACGTGGACGATGCCGTGTAATATGCT